AACCCTCAGCGGGAGCGCCACCACGCTCCCAAGTGCCACACTCTACCGAGTGCGCCACTGGGCCGGCCCTAGCAGAAGAAATTTCTCCTTTTTTTTTTGTCTTTTTTACTGACTGGTAACGGGATCGCAACCCTCGGTGTCGCGCCCGCACTGCGCTCAACCAGTGAGTGGACCAGTCTCTATATGGGATCCGAACCCTCAGTGGGAGCGCCACTGCACTCCCAAGCACCGCACTCTACCGAGTGCACCACCGGGCCGACCCATGAGAATATCTCTCTTTTTTTTGTCTTTTTTCGTGACCGGTAACGGGATCGCAACCCTCAGTGTCACGCCTGTACCGCAACCGGCAATGGGATTGCAACCCTCGGTGTTGCGCCCGCACCGCGCTCAACCAGCGAGCGGACCGGTCTCTATATGGGATCCGAACCCTTGGCGGGAGCACCACCACCCTCCCCAGCGCTGCACTCTACCGAGTGCACCACCGGGCTGGCCCAGAATATCTCTCTCTTTTTTTTTTTTCCTTTTTGTCTTTTTTTGTGACTGGCAACAGATCGCAACCCTCAGTGTCGCGCCCGTACCAGACCGGACCGGCAACGGGATCGCAACCCTTGGTGTTGCTCCCGCACCTCGCTCAGCCAGTGAGCGGCCGGTCTGTATGTGGGATCTGAACCCTTGGCGGGAGCGCCACCACGCTCCCAAGCTGCACACTGTAGCAGTGCGCCACCGGGCCAGCCCAGAATATCTCTTTTTAATAGAGGGACAGGACATTGGGGCATGACCAAAAATGAGTGGGAGAAAGGAGATGAAACGCCTTCAATGTGGCAAGTTAGTGGAGGCGTTCTGTGGTGGTATATATGTTTTTTCCTACCCCAACTATAGGAGAAATGTTAAGTGTGGTTGGGCCCCGAAACTCCTTTAAGACCGAGAAAGTGGCTCCTGTGTCCAGGAGGAAGGAGACAGGTTGGCCATCCACAACAATAGTTACCCTGGGCTCGCTTTTTGTGATGGTCATGGTCGGGAAACCCAGGGCCCTGTCAGTCTTTTTCCTCTTCAGCCAGTCCCACCAGAGGTGTTTGAGGTATCCGGGATGGCTGGGGCCCATTAAGCCAGTCTCCCCTTCAGGTGAGTGGACAGTCCGACCCCCAATGTCCCATTTTGTGGCACTTAGGATACGGCTTGGTGGGCTTTCTGGGTGATGGGCAATTCCTTGACCAATGACCTTCTTTGCCACACTTAAAACAGGCACCAGGGGGAGCTTTGAAGTCGGAGGGCCCGGAAGGGCACTTAGAAGGCTGAGTAATTACTTTGGCCAGCATTTGGAGGTTGGCCAGATCAGCCTTTTGTTTGTGCCGTTCCTTTTCC